ACACGAGGAAATTTTCAGAAATACTGGTCCAGGCTGGCTCCATACCAGCACTTGTACAAAAGAGAGGGGAAGGGAGAATGAGATGCTTTGACATCTCTACCAAAACCCCTCCAGTTACCTGTGTTCCCTTATTATCATCGCTGGCTGTGGATCCTGACAGATGGCCCACGGTGAGCCCTTGCTCCTGGCAGCACAGGAGACAGCCTGCCCACAGGGATACCCTCTGCTCAAGCTCTGCTGGGTCTCTGCATTAATCCTTGTGCCCAACCACCTGAGTTAGTGCTGCAGCATCTCAACCCCTGGTGCATTCCCAGATCCTCTCTCTGCTCTAATGCTGCTGCTCTCTGTAATTTTCCATTCTTGTGTCCCTGCGTTCCCAAGCCATCACTGCACCCATGAGTTCTCCTGATGTAGCCACATTTCAGTACCCCATCACTGCTCTTAAACTGCCCATATTCCCAGCTTGGATCAATACCAATTTCTGCCACTTACTTGCCTACCTTTCAGCAAGCCCTTCTTTGTTCTGCATAGAAATAAAACTGTAACTGTACCTTGCCAGAAGAATGACTTTTTTAAACCACCCCCCCCCTCCACTTCCTCCCTCTATTCTTATTTCCCTTCTTCTTCAGGAGCAATTTAATGTAATTTGCAACTGTCTGGCTGCAAATGAAAAGAGACACAAAGCGTTTCTGCGAAATATTGAAAAGCTGGCTGCTTTTCCCTCAAATTTCACTTAGCGAGAGGCTTTAACTTGTTGTGTGATCGCTGCATGTCATTAATAACCTCTCCAATTCCTTTCAGAACTCAGCAAAGTGAAGGCACAATCACGAATCAAAGGCATGGGTTATTGAGATACAATACTGTTTCACCGAGCCGGGGAGGAGTGTGCCAGGGAGTGGGGAGAAGGTGAAACACTGCACTGCTAGGCTGGCTGGCAGCTGAAGAGGACACTAGATTTAGGAAGAAGTGTATGGGCTTGATTCCCTCTCTGCTTTTCAGATCCAAAGATTTTGCCTCCGTTCAGCCTCCATGGGTTGTGTGTGTTTCCCCAAGCCCTGTGGACTCAGGCCACAAAGGGAGCTGGTTTCTGTTTTGTTCCTCAGGCAGATCTGTCTCCATCTCTGTTGAGTCTTTGCAGCCCATCAAACTGCTTTACTGGGACTAAGTCAGACTTAATTGTGCAGCTCCCCAGCCTGTCCTCAGGGAGCAAAACCTGGGGAACACAAAACAGGATCTCTGCACCTGCAGGACGCAGAAAGTACTGTGAAGGGCAGGGAGTGGGAGTGTGCCAGGCTGGCTAGGGGGTGGCGCTGGGCAGAGAACTGGCTACGATGCTGGCGCTGTCTGTATGCCGCACAGCGTGAGTCGCTGTGAGCAACGTGTGATGTGTGTCCTGCTTGTCACGTGTACCAACCAAGCTGATGGGCAAACCCGTGTTGCTGCGTGCCGGCGCCCTATCTGTGCTGAGGCTCACAGGTTGCTGTCCACATCTGAGGACACACACCACAGTGGGTGGAAACAGGGTCCCTGACCACACGGCCACAAGGCAGGGCGTTCTTCCTGCCTACCCCAGCTGATAGCAAGGGCATAAACACCTGGCATCCTTTCAAGCTCCTCAGCAAGCCTGGGTGATCAGACACTTAGGCTAATTCACTGAGGATGCACTTTACCTCTCTGTTCTAGGAAGCTCCAGCCTTCCTTCCCCAAAGGAAGTTTCACGCGTTTGTTACTTCCAGACTGCACTGATAGCAATTCACCAGCTCTGAAGGCAAGGCAGGTGTTTTAGATAATACAATATACAGCTGACAGTTGTCTCGCTTTACACCCTGAGCACACTAGCCCTTACAAAAGGGGTGAAAGCCAAAAATCTATTTACCTTTGGAAAAAGATGCTAAGCCTTACTGTCAAAAAGTAAGCTTTTCTGAGTTGAAATCCTTTTTAGCCACCATGCATCCAACAGCCCTCAATTTAAAAATAAACAAGAATTTTGATCTCCCAAAAGGGGAACTTGCCAGAAATGCCATAAAAGCAAAGAGAGACCATGGTGATTCCCACTGACTTATGTGAAAAACCTATGGTATAAATATAAAACCTCAGGAAAGCTACACTGCAGGTACGACCCTGCAGGAACAACGTGGCAACATCCTTACATGGGCTGACATCACTAGCATCAGACCTGGAGGGCCAGGGCCTAAGCAATACCTCTTGGGCACAGGCCTACCCAGTCACAGATTTGCAAAAGAACCCAGAAGTCCCCCTCCAGCTGCCTGACCGCAGCCTAGGGACCTGTCAGAAACCGTATCAAAGTATTTCTGTAAGTCTGTCCTCACCAAATCCCCAGTCTGGACTAAGAAAGCCATTTGTCTCTATTCAGGTTAATGAACTGTTGAGATCAACCACTGATCTTTGTATTGAGACCAACAAAGGAAGGTACTTGGGTATTTGTGACATCTATGGTTGCTTTCCAATACAACAGCAAGTGTAGGATTACCAACAAGATCCTTTCCACGCCAGTTTGACCCCTTGCAGTCTCTAAACATGCTGATGCTTGGTTATACGTTCAGATGACAGTTTGTGTCACCCTACACTGATGTCATACGCTCTTAAATTTTCTTCCTGCTATTGCTATGTGCAATAAGGAGATGGTAAGTGGGTAAAATGAACAAGAAATCACTTGTTTACCAGACTACAGCCCACTTACTGAAATGCCAGCGGTGTGTGGTCCAGTACATTCTGTTCTCTGTCCTATCCTAGGGTCCTCACTACCTTTTTGGTGAGAGGCTTTGCCACAGAGTTCATCAGAAGATGATCTAGATGTGGATGTACAGAGACAGAATCTCATGGCCTTGTTCCCAAAATAGGGAAACAAACAGTTACCTAGCACTCCTGCCTGTAACTCATTTCCAGAGTATTCTCTGTGATCAGTTGGGTCAGAGGGATGGGTGATACTATACAGACACAAGCAAACCAGGCTAAGAAAACAGGGCTGAAAGCTACCTCAGGTCACCCAGCCGATGCCCACGCCAAGCCCAACTCTATGCACGTCAGGATGGAGGTCTGTTCCGTTCTGGTAGTAACCATCTCTAAATGACCACTAAAATCACCAAAGAGAGAGAATCCTGCCTTCTTGGTCACTGAGGGACTTTCCAAAAGAGAAACTAAATGCGATGAAGTGGTGTATTGCCAGCCTGAAAACAGACAGCTCCAAATGCAGCACAGCTCATCTTCATCTTAATCCTGAAGCTTAATTACACCACACTTCTCATTAACTGTCTCTAGACAAACATGTTCGAAAGTATTCAGCTAGCACAGACTTCTTACTATTTCCCAAGCAGTTTCTTACACGTTTCTTAACATAAAAAGCCTTTAGATCACCACATCACAGATAAATTGCTGCTTTAAATACTACTCCGTACAGCACTCTATAACCACTGAGAGCAGAAACAGCAGAGAACATAGGGAAACATGCAACAAATTCCTGATGTAGAATGGCAGCAAAACTGAGATTGCCTTGAATTCACCGAGCCTCACATGAACAACCTTTTGGAGTCACTCTACAGGTACTAGGTAGAGACACGTCTGCCTTCTCCCCTGTGTTACAGCACTGTACCATGACTCATCATGACTGCTCCTCCATCCTTTGGCTTGTTCTTATAGACTCTGCCAGTTCTGCCCTGGACCAACACACACAGAAGATTACATTGCTTTAGCCTGAAAGGCTGACCTTTTCCCCTTACACAAAATTAACTCAAACTCAAAAACCCAAGCACCTGGTTATCTGCACTCTTCCCCCTCGCTGCCCTGAGATAACCTGAAACAGCAAAGATCCTATTAAGTGGTAATTAAGTTATGTGCACTTTCCAGCCCTCAAATGCCAACACAGGCCCATGCAAAAAGGGATGTAAACAAATATGGAAAAGGATGTGTGCATGTGGAGGTCTTGAGGGGAGCAGGGAGAGGTGAGGGAATCTATTTGGACCTGTATGGGTTGAAGAGGAAATGTTATGTTTAAGAATTCCTAACCCCTCTCCAGAGACCCCTGGATTATATTAATTATTCTGTTGCCTTGAGCACTCAGAGCCTCCAGTGAGCTTCTGTCTATAAGTACCCAACTCCTCTGCCTGCTCACCTCCAAATGAATCCTCCTAATGTGCTTGATTAACCCCCTCAGCGCAGCAAGGGAACTGCCCAGTCAAAGCTCTCAAATCGTACCAAAATGGGAATGGCAACAATTCAGAACTCCTTTCAGCTCACCAGCAGGTCCCAGGGAGGCAGAGGACTTCCCTGTGAGGAGGGACCTGTTCCACAGTCCTTGGTCTCCTGCAATCCCTACTGCACTTTGCTCCCGACACCAGCTGTGGAGCAAGCAGGACCCAGGAACAGACCACAGCTAGTTCAGCAGTCTCTGTCTCACCTATATAACCCATTTCTCTTCCAAACAATGGGATACAGCAAGTGTATTTTTTTCTTCTGAGAAGCTGATCCAACTCAGCCACTGCACTAGAAGTCATTTTGGGCCCTGCACAGAGCCACCCAACAAACTGTCCAGGCACCCTGCAGAGCAGTGGCAGACTAGGAGTGGATGAAGTTCTGCACACCTGGAGGAAAAGAGTCTGGTACCTTGTCTTGTCTACTGTCAGCTTTCCAGCATGCCCATTGTGCAGGCTGGGCCCACCCACTTCATCCCAAAGCTCACAGCTCCCTAGTGACAGGGACAGATAGCTGAAGATGTCACGTCACACCACAGAGACCAACGAGCAGCACAGAAATAAGCTCGGCTGGAGTCACATGGGGCAGTCTTGGCAAGGTAGAGAAAAGAGCAGCAGCTCTGTGAAGAGCAGCACTGTGCTTTGGCTCCCACATCCCTGTTCTAACCCCCAAACCACACTTCTCTTTCACAAGCAGGAAAATTAATCTAAGCCACTTCTCACCCTCCCTTCCCTCCCCTGCCAATCCCCCATTCACCTGTCCATGGCGCGAGCTCCAGGCACAGAACTTACCCCTGGCAGAGTCTTCTGTTCATGCAGTGCTGTCTGGGCTTTGATGGCAGAGTCTCTGGCACAGTACGTGAGGAACGCGCAACCTGCAGCGGATACAGCAAGCGTCAGGTTCGACACGCAATTGCAGATGCACATCAACACAACGTTCTTCTTTGGTAACAGCGGGTGACCGAAGGACAAGGACCACATATGCAGCCCTGTTCTGGCAGATCTCTGTCCCAGCGTTTCTGCTCAGGTAGAGGGGAAGCGCCTAGGACAGCCCTTGTGAGGGACCTGCCTTTTTGGGGGAGGCGGGGGGAGGAGGGGCAGACAGGGAGGCTCACTAATTAAAGGTGCAAATGTTCTATTATTTGCATGTGTCGAAGACTCCAGGGAAACAGACAAACCACAACATTAAAGGACTTGCAGGTCCCATCCAAGGTCTGTTGAAGTCATGGAAAAGGGCCCCAGTGAATCAACTAGGTTTGAAACAGATGTTGAACAAGGTGAGAAACAACAGGAGAGCAAAACGCAAGCGAACGTTGCCTGTGGGAGAAACAACCCAAACCGCAAGGATCAGACGAGATACAAGGAGCAATACAATTATTGATTTTTTTTTAAAAAAAAAAGCAAGGAAAGAGGAAAAGCATCTGGGATTTTAGGCTCATATGAAAGCTCCATGATCCAGATTCATGGAATCATGGAAAGCGACAAGAGAGGCCTGGCTTTCTATGCCATACATACATGTATGATCCTGACATTCTTAGTCAAGATATGACTTAACGTCTTAGCCTCACACTGGAGCCAGAGGAGGAGGGGAGGAATTGTAGCCCCTCCAGGAAGGAGGAGGATCATCTTTGGGTGCTCTGATGCTAAGAATAATCAAATGAAACTAAGCAAAGGAAAAAATTGGCTGGATACCAAGAAACGTTTCCTAGCAGAGAGAGATTTATTAGACTGTGGAGCGTCATCAGTTGGGTTGTTGCAGATGAGGATAAGCAAAGCACTGGAGAATAGACTCAAAATGCTAGAATGCATCTGACCCCCTCACTCACCTCCCTCCCATTCCCAATGGCATTTCACATCCTAAGCAAAGGCAGGACATGTCCCTTCAGCTTGTTGCTAAATGTCCATGTCTACATTGTTTTGCTGGGGCTGCAGATGCATTGTTATTGCCCAAATAGAGAGGCCCATTCTTTTGCCCCCACTTTCTTGTGCCTGGCTTGGGGTACTCCAAAGCCGCTTCAGCTCTCTATGGATCCAAAGGTAGATGCAGGACAGGGGCTGTCTGGATCTCTCCCCTCCACTTTTAGGCCACACGGAAGCCGTCTGCTCAGGACAATCCCCCAGCCCATGGCAACAAGATGATGCTGTTCTCCCATTCTTCCATCCCAGCTCCAGTTAAGTTGCTGCAGCTAAGCAAATCACATCTGTCCTAACAGCTCCTGCTAGGGAAAAAACCCCTTCTACAAACAGCACACAAGCATTAGATATTTCCAACAGGTAATTAAAGCTCCTTATTGCCCAGGTTTTGAACGGAGAATGCTGCACCAAGGCCAGACGTGGGATCACCGGATAATTTAACAAAAGCAGCGAGGCCAGGAAGCATGCAGGTAGCCTTCCCTTCTCATGGCAAAGGCAGCTAGCTCTATCGGGAAGAGGGGGGGAAGGACCCCTTTGCTTTTACTCTCCCCTTGCAGACTGATGTGATGTCAAGCATCAGGAAAAGCCCCAAAAGCACCTGTATAACCAGCAAGCCCAAACCCTATTTCTAACAGATTTGGAGGCCTGGTCACTAAAGTCCCAAATGCAGATTCTTGCCTGATTCCACCTGCTGCTCCAGTCTGCCACTTTGCAAGTCACACGAGACCCATTCTAAGAGAATCGGGGTCAGGTCTAGCACACAAAACTCCAAAGTCAGGAGTTGGGAATAAGCAATTTATTCCACTGAGAGCTTTAATGCATTGGTACCATGTCCACGTGCAATGAAGACACCATCCTTGCCTCAGGAGAATTAGCCATCGAGCCTAAGAAAACTAAGGATAGGAGAGGAATAAGTCTACATGAAGCTACCTGCTGAGTTAAGCACTCAAACCCAGTCCCCGAGTCCCAATTCCAGTACTCAGGAACATCAAAACTGAGGTAACGCACACTGACAGGCTGTGCTGGTTGTGGCTGGGGTAATTTTCTTCATAGGAGCTGGTATGGGGCTATGTTTTGGATTTGTGCCGAGAACAGTGTTGATAACGTAGGGATGTTTTAGTTATTGCTGAGCAACGCTTACAACAGAGCCAGGGCCTTTTCTGCTTCTCACCCCACCCCACCAGCGAGTGGGCTGGGGGTGCACAAGAAGTTGGGAGGGGACACAGCCAGGACAGCTGACCCCCACTGACCCAAGGGATATTCCACACTGTACGATGTCATGCTCAGCAGATAAAGCTGGGGGAAGAAGAAGGAAGGGGGGAACATTCGGAGTGATGGCATTTGTCTGCCCCAGTAATCATTCCATGTGATGGAGCCCTGCTTTCCTGGAGATGGCTGAGCACCTGCCTGCCGATGGGAAGTAGGGAATGATTTCCTTGTTTTGCTTTCCTTGCGTGAGCAGCTTTTGCTTTACCTATTAAACTGTCTTTATCTCAACCCACGAGTTTTCTGACATTTACTCTTCCAATTCTATCCCCCATCACGCCAGAAAGGAGTGAGTGAGCGGCTGTGTGGAGCTTAATTGCTGGCTGGGGTTAAACTACAACACAGGCTCAAAAACCTCAGTCCATGGGAGGACAAGGATAAAATGAGGATTGGACAAAGGTGCACCATTTAGTGGGGATAAAGGAGAGACACTCACACAGGGATAGAGTGTTATTTTGCAAGGTTCTATCATCATGCCAGATCAGGGATTTGTAAAGCCCAGCAACACCTACATCCACCAGCACCAATCCAAGAAAGTGCCATGAATCCCCTCCCTAGAGCCCTCTTCTCAACAGCAAAGGCAGTCCAAAATACTGTTCATCTTTTAGGTGCTCGGGTATCTGTAGCAAGAGGTAGCAGCCTCTGGAGACAGAAGCATCCTGCAGCTATGGAGCCTGAAGATGCCCCACTCAAACCTCCTGCTTCACTCCCAGGGCAATCCTTGCTGCTGCTCTGCTTTCCAAGGATGTGGATATTTGCTCAACAGGAGCCAGCTTGTACTCAAGCATGAAACAGCACTTGGACAGACTGCGTCTGGGCTGGACTGGGACAAGCAAGCCTATGGGCACAGGACAGCCCTGTCCACTGCTCCGTCCCTCAGCTCTCTGTGGCTCTAAGCTTTCAGGACATTCAGCTCATTCATTCCATCTCATTCCTACTTCCCAAACGGCAGGAATCTGGGAGGCTGTACTGGCCGTGGAAAGGAGAGCGCTAAAGAGGTCAGCTACGTCCTCTGGAAAACATGAACACTGTCCTCCACAGCCAGACATTTTGGAGGTAGGATGCAGGAGTCAATTCTATTCTCTTTGCAAAGTCCTAGCCAGAAATACAGAAAGGGGTTTTGCAGAAACGCTACACTCTAAGCTTAATTGTGTAAACAAATATTTGAGAAAAAGAATCTTCCTTCCTGAAGAGACATTACCTCTTGCAAACTAACTCTTCAGTTACTCCTTAGGACGCAGCAAGTCAGTGAAGCAGCAGGCATTTTCCACAGCCTCCCCTCGTCCCCTGCTTTGCCCAGGTGCCTGAAGCTTATAGAAGTACCAGAGGCTCAAGGAAAGCCACAGTTTCCCAGCTAGGATGGGTTTCCATGCTGTTACAGGACCCCGCTTACCATGTCTTTCATGGGTCCTTCAGCTTCTAAAACTTTGAGCCTGACAGAGTCACCCAGGGATCCACTCAACAGCGAGGAGACATCCACAAAGGTGCAGAGGCCTGTCGCTCTCACTAGGTTTTTGCATTTCCACATTTCCTGCTTTAGTTAACAGCAAACTCAGGTCAACAGGCTTATGCCCCTTTGGGCACGTCTAACACCAAGTCAATTATGCCTGCTGAGACATGGAACGTGGTGTTAAAAAGTGCTCAGGCTGTTAAAAAGTGTTGGCCTTGAAGGTCCCAGGCAGTCGGCCAGCCAGGTGATGCTGATGATCCAGCCAGGTGATGTTGATGATCCAGTCACAGAACAGGGGAACATAACAGTACCCAGAGCACTGTCTATAAAATCAAGCCATTACAAGTCCTAAATGGGGGAACTTGGACTGGAGCTGCTGCTGGACAGTGAGAGCCGTGACCCCCGGTGGCCAGGGACGTCTCCACCATCATCTGCTTCCTCTGAGGACTGACTCATCTTCTTTTATATTATTTTCGAGTCTAAATTATGATTGTTATATTGATACAGCAAATCGTGTATTAAAAAAGTGCTCAGGCTGTTAAAAAGTGTTGGCCTTGAAGGTCCCAGGCAGTCGGCCAGCCAGGTGATGCTGATGATCCAGTCACAGAACAGGGGAACATAACAGTACCCAGAGCACTGTCTATAAAATCAAGCCATTACAAGTCCTAAATGGGGGAACTTGGACTGGAGCTGCTGCTGGACAGTGAGAGCCGTGACCCCCGGTGGCCAGGGACGTCTCCACCATCATCTGCTTCCTCTGAGGACTGACTCATCTTCTTTTATATTATTTTCGAGTCTAAATTATGATTGTTATATTGATACAGCAAATCGTGTATTAAAATAGGATCCCAAGGGTCCCTAAAAGAACCTGCATGTCCCCTTAGTGTTGGGTGACACCACCCTACTCCCACTGTCTCCGGGAGGGTTTCCAGCTCCCTGTAAGCAGAACCCAGCCTAGTTCTACTTGCAAGAGACTGCAGCAAAAAAAAAAAAAAAAAAAATATTCTGTGTCTGGTCCTCCCTACAAACCACACATTGATTCTGGGATTTATAGTCCCTTCAGATCCTAAACACTGCTCCAGATATCAGCAGTCTAAAGCCTTGAGCAAGAAAAGACTGTCAGTTTGCAGGAGAGAGGGGACTCTAGATTCAGCTTAGCATCAGAAATCACATCAAATACTTCAGCAGGGGAAGCATGGAGTCAGCGGGGCGCTTATCTACAAGCCTGCAGATGCTGAGTCAAAA